TAATTCCGATTTTGAGCACATCACTCTCCGAGGCACTGAGCTCCTCATGATGTCAGTCAGTGGTACGACTTTCAGGCAGGAGTCAGGCTTTTGTCATTGTTTTGCATTTCACTTGCTCTTAATTTCCAATCTTCATTTGTTCTGAGTCACAGACTTTGATATCCCTGCAGTCATTTTTAAAGCTAAATGGCCGAATATGTCTAATTTGTTAAAATAAAAACCTGGTAGAAAAGTCTATCTCGGCTGGCATACTTGTTGTGAAATCCAATTTATTTAGAGGAAATTTTTCAAACTTACATGGCTTTACCATCCTAATTGTTTTTTTTAAAAATGTAAAAAAGTTTACAGATATTAACATTGGCCGATAACCAAGCGGAGAAAATGAGGCAGACTTTTCAGATTTCAGCAGAAGCTGACGGAGAGCAGCTCCCTCAGCACCAATAGGTCTGCTTTTGGAAAGAGAAGGGGGAGGAAGGGGAGGAGGGAGCCCTCGGATTAAGAGGCTGAAAAATGGTTAAAACGTGTCAACGTGTAATTGCATGATAAGGCCCCCTCGCGAGGAATCCGTTGGCCCCGTTGCTATTTTCTATGGCGTCCCAGCTAATCTCCTCGCACCACATTCAGTGTTGTGCAATCGGTCCCCCGTAATCTCCCATGACAGAACCGGGTCCAACGACAGAGGTGAGGGTTTTTATAGGAGGAGAGGGAGGAAAATATGCGGAGGCGTGATAAACTGACGCCGATTATCCACGTTCAGGACATCAGGAGCACACGGGATGGAGGGCGTGGGGCTGTATGGGTTATGGAGAGGGAAGTGCCAGAGCAGCAGTGTCCAAACGTGTGCCAAGCAGAACAAGAAGGAGAGGATGAAAACCTGCAGGCACACAGCTGCAGCTCAGCCCTGCCCTCAGCTTCCACCGCCATGGGAGCATCTCTAAGAGTGTGAGGAGCAGATTGCTCTGCCCCGAACTTCATCCCAGACGCTGATCAATGCAGACGTGTTACTTGTGTATAATCCATATCACCTGAGCTTCTTTGAAGCCAAATGTGTTCATGTAATCATCACATCAAGACCTGATAAAAAAAAAACTTGATCATCTGATTTCCACTCCAATAGAATCTTCACTCCCTTTCTCTTTAGGTGCTTTACGAGGGAAATCTGTCATACCTTCAGTTTAGTTTCAGTGGTTGTGGCAGAATCTTCATTTTTTAATCATTATATCAACATATTTGCGATCAAAAAGTCCAATCAGCACTGCATTCAGAGGCAATCACACCAGCTTGATCCCAATGGACAAATAATAATATACTCTAGAAACAAGTCTGAGATGGATGATGATTAAATATCTTTTGTGCTCATTCCAGAAAATTGTTCCTTTTTAAAAAAATCATTTTCCTCCAAAGAGCTACTGTCAATTATATTTTTAAAAAAGGATTAAAAGGTGAGAGCTCATCCTTCAGATTTCTGCCCCTTTATCTCAAACCACACTTATGTTAACCTCTGAATCAGATTAAGTGTTTCTCAGATCTAATCAGATGATGTTTTACTGTCGGCTCATGCAACACAAAGCCTGAGCAACAAACCTGTAAACTCCACATCCCTCACTGATTGATTGTGTCAAACTAAGTGTGAGGAGGAGTTTGGACTTCCATTTGAATGCTCAGTTAAAGAGGAACATGTCAGTCAGCTTTTGGATATAAACTTCTGAGCTAATTTCTTTTCTGCTCATCCAATATCACAAAAATGGAAAACTTGAAAAAATACATCTTCGTGATGGAGGAAAAGTAATAATGAATCATTCCTACAAAATTATCAGTGACCAGCATTCATTTGAATTCATGCAAAACAACCTGTATCTCACTGTAAGCGAAAACATAACTTTCAAGTTTTAAGAAGAAAAATGGTAGCACGAAATATTTTTGAAAAACATCCCTCAGGACTCGGAAGCACAGATTTATAAAAGTGATATCCTTTAATAACTCCACCCCTTCCATATTTGTCTTTAAATGCTCTTAGACAGTCTGTTTTATACAGAATATTATCTCCAAATGAAGAGCATGTTCCATTTTACAGTGTAATAGCTAATAAAGGAAATTTTGGATTTATTTGATCACCTGCTCTGGGTCACTAGATAAATTTAAACTCCTGAATCGACCACAGAAGGCCCATTTCTGATGGCTGTCATTATCAGAATCTCAAATACAAGGCCTGTTCTGCTTTTTGATGAATTCGCTTGTCTTATTTTTACCTTCCACTTCAGTGAATTGTTAACCCGTGGAGAGTTGTACACGTCTCATCTCTTCCCTCTGAATAAGAAGAGTTTGTGTGGGGAAAAAGACAAATGCAGCATTTAGTCTGTGAGTCTAGTTTGTTTGTCCAGTTGCTGATGTTCTGCCTACATCTGTAATGAGAAAAGTTGCATTTCCTTGACTTTTTTTGTGAATTGATGTCAATATTTTCAAAACGGAGCTAAATTCAGAAACTAAAACTGCTAATACTCATATTGACAGATGATATGTTTTAACTCAAAACAATTCTGAGGTTCCAGCTATCATTTTGTTCTATGCCATTTAATTTGTTTGTTTTTTTCGACTCATTTGTTCGACGCTGGTCTTTCATACTATTGGCTTTCTCTCTTTTTAAGGTTATATATTCAGAATTTTGAACCTTTGGGGTAATTTTTTTTCTTTGTGTAAAGTAAATGCTTAGACGAACCACTCCAGGAGCAGTCTTTCTTTTTATTAAGTAGAAGCAAAGACGAGTCGGAAACCAGGAAAACAACCAGTTTAATCAATAGGAAAAAATGACATAACTGGCTCTGTGATATATCTTCCCAGTGTAAATTCATGATAGCGCACACTTTACAGATGTGATTTGCTTCCTAGCTGCCCTCTTGTTTTCAGCTTCAGACCCGAGTGGGAATTAGCCTGATAAAACCAGGGGTGTTGTTTGCTGGGCTTTTTGTTGGGGGTGACCCCCGGGTCGCCCCGGCTTACACCAGGACTAATCCCTATTCTCCTCCGACACAAAAACCTCCTCTCTTCGCCTTCACCCTCCTGCTCCTCCTCCCCTCTGCTAATTCATGCCTCCCTCCCTGCCCGGAGGCCTCCACTGATTCAGCCATCGAATTTAAGGAGGAAATAATTTAACACCCATGACGATTACACAGATGCAGACGTTTGATGCTGGGGGTCAGGAAATGGGAAAGAATTGGAGCTCAAAGTTGAGGAGGGCGACACAGGTATACGTGGGATTGGAGTTGGCTCTACTGAGGCCAGTTGAAGAATAAGCAGTTCATTGAGCACCGGATCCTCTTGTTATCGGATTTACTTTTGCTTGAGATTTAGATAGCTAAGGTCGTAACCTGGCAGGCAGGTAACAAAAGAGAAACAAACTTTTCAGGGCCTACGAGTGCAACACACATGAAAAGAGTTGCTTTAACTGTCAAACATATAAGGCGTTATTGATGCAGGTTCAACTTGGCTAAAACTCTGACCCACGTGGTAATCCCTTGAATGAGAATGTGAGGAAAAACCTAGGTTAATCAGACCAAGAGGAGGGAACCGTCTGCTCATGCTGAGGAGTTGATTCAGTAGTCCCAGTTAGGCTGCATTACATTGAATGAGGTTATTATTTTTGTTTTTCTCATTAATGCCTCACTCACATCGTCACAACGGATTAAAGAAATCACACAATATATAAATGTATTTTTTAATGGGATGTTTTCCTTGCAAGGCTGGTTTTGCTGTGTATTTTCAATGCATTTATGTATGTTTGTTAAGCATGAATGAGTATGGAAAAGAAGAAAAAAAAACATGCTTTAATCCTGATTACTGAAAGGAAAATTTGTGAGAAATTGCTTCATTTTAAATTAAGTTGAAAATGTTTTTACATTATTCTTCGGAGATAAAATCTCGTTAAACAGCTGTCCGACATTTTTACATCAGATCAGTTACAATTACAAAATTACAACTGAGAAATGAAAACTAAAAATTGAAACAAATTTGCTATTTCAGTAAAAAAAAAAAGACTTAACACGTTGATATGATCCGTATAAAAAACTTTAAAATATATCAAATGAAAATGTGATCACTTTAAGCTCGGTTTTATTGTAACAGAAATAATTTAAGGGCATATAATATACATTTTTTATGCTACTGACTTTTCTTTTGAATTACCAAGACTTAATTAATTTTTCGCAGCCCGCAATGTCAAGTGCATTGACGACGCTTTCCTTATAAAAATAGTTCCTAAATGAAAAGGCGTCTTAACGCTGTTTAGATAATTGATTTACATCAGAATGTCCAAGTGGAAAAAATACCATAAAATAGAAAACAAAGTCGAACAAACCTAGGACTTTCTCCAAGACAGAACAACTTCTTGGAACATTTATTAAACTCGGCGCCAGATTATGTCGTCTTCGACCCAAAAATGTGGCTTTGCATTTAGTAAATTATGTACAATTGCATAAAAGCGTTTGCAGTAGGCCTATTTATTCACAATTTACAAGATTTTACAACAGAAACAAATTCAAATTACACCGACTGACTCACATGTTTACAAGCATCAAAACTGAAAATCAATTTAAACTGGCTAACTTTTTTTAAATGACATCTTCCACACCACCCTCTGTTTATTATACGGTTTCCTCTTTATAACAGCTTTTATGAATTGCTCAAACGCACAGCTAGTGCCTGTAATCCCACAGAAAGGTCTGGGGGGGAAATAACTTTCAAAATGAACCAGCCATCCCGGATTATCATTTACACCGTGTCAAAACTTGGCATGCTCTGTTCCAGACAGCAAAAGTAAATCGGATGCGCTTTCCTTTAGCTTAAAAAAAAGAAGAGCGAAAAAAAACGAATAAAAAAGGTTGGTTCAAAATGATTGCATTTTATGGCTAAAAACGCCTACAATTGACAATTCATTAGGAGCCGGCGCCCACATCTAGCTTGAATATTTGGTTGTGATTTGCAGTGCTTGCGCTCCACGTCCGGATTTAAATGTGCGTGAGGGGGAGCGTCCCGCTGACCGGCGTGGAGCCGCTCTGGTAGTGCTGCGGGGGCAGCACGTGCAGCCGGCTCTGCACGGAGGAGTCCGCCGCCTCTCCGGGGGGCAGGTACATGCTGATCATGTCCCGCAGGTCCCCCGCGGGGCACGGCGGCGCGCGCGCGCTGGAGACCGGGGGGCTGACGCTTGGCTCAGATTTGACAAGCGGCCCCAGAGTCCCCCCGATGGCCCCGGACACCGGGGAGAGCCCGGAGCCCTGGTGCTGGTGAGTGTAGCCGGTGAGGCCGCCGTAGCCCGGCGGCGACGCGCTCATGTAGCTCTGAGAGTTTGAGATGGGGCTGTAAGATAAGGCGCTCATGTCGTACCTGTGCACGGGCTGCGGGGTGTGCGGGTGGTGGGGGTGCGGGTGGTGGTGCGGGTGGTGCGGGTGCGCCGCGGCCCCCGGGTGCTGCGTGTACGCCAGCTGGGCCTCCTGCATCATGGCGTGAGCCGCCGCCGCCGCGGCCGCCACCTGGCCCGAGTAGCTGCCGTTCGCCCAGCCGTTGACGTGGGTCGCGTAGCCCGCGTTGGCTCCCACGTGCCCTCCTCCGGGACTCTCCAGTCGCTGGCCGCCGCCCATCCCCACACCCGCCGACGAGCCGAGCAGTCCCCCCGCCAGCGAATACTTGTCCTTCTTCAGTAGAGTCTTGGTCTTCCTGCGCGGCCGGTACTTGTAGTCCGGGTGTTCCTTCATGTGCATGGCCCGGAGTCGTTTCGCCTCGTCGATGAAAGGTCTCTTCTCCGCCTCCGTCATCACCTTCCACTCTGCCCCCAGCCGCTTACTGATCTCAGAGTTGTGCATCTTGGGGTTCTCCTGAGCCATTTTCCTCCGCTGGCCCCGGGACCAGACCATGAAGGCGTTCATGGGTCTCTTGATTCTCTCCTGGGAGACTTTGCCTCCGCCGCCCCCGCCTCCTCCTCCCGCGTGTACCCCGGGGTTGGATGGGTTTGTCTGGGGCACCACGGGGGAATGCAAGTCCGTTTCCATCATGATGCTGTACATTCACCTGGTCTTTGTGGGACACAGTCAAACACGGAGAATCATTCAGACCGGCCCGCGCGCTGCTCGACCTCCAAAGAAGACGGAGGAAAAGAGTGTGATAAAAAGCGAGGAAAGATGCTCTGCCTCAGGATGAAATCCAGAGAGAGGTGAAACTGCCCCGCACTTCCCCCTTTTGCCTTTTCACTGTCATCCGCCGGCGCTCAGAAGAATTGAATGACTTGTTTGAGCTTACTTTGGTAGAAGCTGTAGTGAGAAGTTACCGGAGCGTGCCCGGGCCGCGCGCTCTGACAGCAGCTAAATGAGCGAGAGGCGGCCAATGGAGAGGCTCGAGCGGAGACGTGATTTGCATGCAGGGGGCTCGAGGTTCTGGTGACGTCGGAGCGCGAGACCTAAAAATTACTCCCTCAGTCATCTGTTTTTCGTATGCAACTAGAAAATGCACCCCATGTAAACAGTTTGAGAGCAACAGTTTTGCAGATGTTCTTCTATTTGCTGGGAAAAATCGAAATCCACGTTTACCAAGACCGCAAAAATTGAATAAAAGTTAAACGAAGAGCAGATTTATACAGGAGACGAAAACGCAAACATCTACCAAAGTAAACATGACGTAAATTTAGTGTAATGACTGAAAGCCTGTCAGGTGTTAATAATTACGAGTAGGCCTACAAAAATTAGTCAACGGATCAATTTAAATGTATTGGGCCTACTTTCACGGTTTTTATAAAATGGACATAAAGCCAAAGTTTGCATTAAATGTTTGACATTTATTGGAAGAACATTTACCCCTTTTTTAATGGCTCAGAAAACCTGTCCGATTAATGTGCCTATTTTGTCCCTTTTTTTTTGTCGAACGCAGGGTTGCAGTCCCTCTATTCAGAGCCACAGGTGCTTTTCTGTTGTGCCCGTTGCTAGGAAACAGGTGACTGACGCCAAGAGCACGTGCCATTCAAAGCGCATCTTTTGTTTGTTTCAACAGCTCCCAAATGCAAGGGGGCAGGGAAGGGGTGGTTTGGTGGGGGGGCTACAGTAATCCTATGATAAATGTTAGAAGAGTCGCAGGCTTTTGATGATCACATTTTAATAAATGACTGAAACCCTTCTGCTGCCATGTGAAGCACAGGCAGGCCTGCATGCAGCTGAAGGCCCAGGATCACTTCACAGCCTCTTGTTTCCTTTGGAACAAGGACAATTCAGCCTGGCAGCTCTCCAAAAATGTACCGTTTTATTTAGTCTGTGGTGACCTGAGAGAAACCATGTCATTCAAAAAGACAATAGAAAGTAACAGCCATCTTACTGCCGATGTTATTAAATGGCCGACTTCGACAGCTTGAAGGCTGAAGCCTCTGCTGTTAAAAACAAAAGTTTATCTACATTTTACTGCTGCAAATGATCATGCATTTATTGAGTTTATTAATCCACAGTTTTTTCAAAAGAATAAAAAAATGTCACAGTAATTTCCAAGAGCTGATGCTGAGTTTTTAAAAGTATTTTTTTGTCCAGTGTTTAATAGTAGGGTGTTTATTTCGAACAAAGCCAAGAAATAACAGAAAATCTAATGAACCATAAATGTAAATTGTTGTAAAAGATATTATAGGTCTGTCACTATTGGATGGCTTTTTCTTTTCTTTCACATTGAGTGGAATTGAGTGGACAAATGTGGCAGACAGAATATTCTGGTCTTCTCTGGCTTCCATCATGTGGAGGATCTCTGCAGTCTTGAGGGATTATGCTCCCAAAGCAGCATCTGTCAGGTGTTGCCTGCCTCTCATCGAGCTGGAAAAACCGTGTTAGCATGCTGGCATGGCTAGATGTTCCTCTTTTCTTGATGCACCAGAGCTCTTAAGTGGCTTGTATGATCTGCTTTGAGCTCACTGTGAAATTACTGCTCTACTGCATTACAGCTCTAAGACAGAAATCGGATCAGAGAACTGACACAAATACTTCACATTGACCAAGTAATAATATCTTGCCAGTAACCACACTTTTCTTAATTTACTCATGTGTCAATTCTTCTATTGATCTGATGGTAAGGGGAGAAAAGGCATTTTTTTCCCCCACGAGGCTCTATGAATCGACTCTGCTTTTGAGTCTTGAGATGTTCTGTCGAGGAATCAATTAGCAGCTGATAAAGAAAATCAACTTTTCAGGGACAGGCGGATGCTTTTATTTACAATACCATCTAAAACGGGCTGACCTTTAGATTTGATGGCTGTCTGCTTGATTTGTGTTGCCTGAACACAGAGGAGCCATCGGGTCCATCACCCCTTAGTTTCCTGTTTGATTCTCTGTGTTTCATGTGGTGCTTTCAGCGTTAGGGTTAGAGATCATAATTAGAGATTGTTTACATGCAAAATGCGTAGTACATTTGGCGCACATTTCTTTCATATAGGACTGAATTAAAACGATAAATAATGCATGTTTAATTCAGTTAAAATGAGACGTTTCCTACATACACTGACAACTTACACATCTGTGTTTTAACATGAGGCTGGACCTTTTTTCCTTAAAGCTGAAATGGTTATGATGAACCTTAAACCCAAATGAAGTCGGAACAAATTGTGTTGGTTTAAGACGTTTTTATTTGTCTGTCCAGTATAAAGGCTCAGTTTATTTGACTTTAATATAGATGCCATCAGAGCTGCCAAAATGCTAAACTATGTTTGAGTTGTCCATTGCATTTATTTGATATAATCACATCCCAGATCCTGCAGCTCAAAATCATGTCTGTCAAAGATGTAGAAGTCTGAGGTTGCTTTGAAAAGTAGGATAAATCTGATATTCCCACTTTTTATATGCTCAGTATTTCTATGTTTGCTGAGCCTGTCTTGCCTAATTATAGTCCATATGGTGGAGGAGGTTTAGGGAGGATCTGCTGGATTAAAAAAAAACTATCAGGAAATATAAATGGTGGTTGTGGTCTGGTTGTTAAAGAATGACGACGGTCCTCTTTTTGCACAATTACAGTTCAAGACGGCAATGGCCGTAATCACAGAGACCATCAGTTTATTATTGGCCAAAAATCAAAGTAATCATGCTGTTTCAGGTCATAATGGTTTGAAGGAATTTAACATTTGTGGGTTGGTATGAATCTGGCTGGTGGTCCGTTCACTTCTCTGTAATCCTCTGGGACTCCGCATGGGATTGGCCACCCTCCTCCAACCATTGAGTTTTCCCCTCATAAAAAGCTGTTGTCTCCATATCTGCAACAAACAAACGGAATTAAAAAGCATGATAAGATGTGATGGCATATATAGTCTATATAACACAAATCCATCCATCCATCCATTATCAATGCCGCTTATTCCCTGATGGGGTCGCGGGGGGAACTGTAGCCTATCCCAGTGGTCAACTGGACAGTCCGCCAGTCCATCGCAGGGCCACACACAGGACATACAAGGACAAACAACCACTCACACTCACTCCTACGGGGAATTTCCCCAATCTCCAATCAACCTAACATGCAGGTTTTTGGACTGTGGGAGGAAGCCGGAGAACCCGGAGAGAACCCAAGCAGACACAGGGAGAACATGCAAACTCCATGTTCACCCAGAAAGGTCCTGGTTCACCGGGGATTCGAACCCAGAACCCTCTTGCTGGGAGGCGACAGTGCTAACCACCACACCACCGTGCTGCCCACACGGTATAACACAAATTAGGTGGATATTCAAACAACCATTTTTGCAGTTTAGTTGATTCTGGTCCTTTGATACAGTATGCATGGCAGGAAGAGAAGCTCCTTTGTTGCACTTGTGGGTCTTCTTTCTATGGGTAGAGTATCAAGAGGCTGAACTCGATGCACCATTGATCATATTATTATTATTATTATTATTATTGTTATTATATTCTGAAGACTATGTAATGGGTTAATGAATCAAGTGGGCAAAACTCAAATAAATGGAAAAAACACCAGCATAGGTGTGAATGATAGTGTGCTATTTTGTTAACTTTAGCAAGGCTAGTGGATGAATCCATGAGTCTTTTCCACAGATATACTAGACATACTGTTTGGATATTTCCAGCCAGCCCAGGCCTTCCAGAGCCCTCTGATTGGCATTGTTAGTGAGGATGTATGGGACGTTGCTGGAAATGCAGCCTGAAATGGTGCTGGGATGAGAAAACTCAGGAACATGGCACTGTCAGATTTAAATGAATTTCCTGTGCATAACAGAGAAAGCAGCTCATTTAATTTGGTTCACAAACGTCTTTTGTCTAATTGAGGTCAATTTGTATTGGACAGGGATGAAGTGAAGAGAATTGCGGGAAAATTTGCAATCCAAGGGCCAGGAGGAGGTCTCAAATATAAGCAGACAGAAGAATGACCAGGAAAATGATAGACGAATAGATTTACCCTCATGTTTAACAAAGACAAATGTGAATGAGACCAGCTGACTTGGTAGTTTAGTTTTATAAATGTCTTTCCAGTTCAGAGTAAGCCTAACCCCATGTTGTTTTTATGTTTCAGAGATCTACTTCATCCCATGTTTGCATGTACACCTTTCTGAGTATTTTGTCCTTGGTGGGTATTAGGTCTGAAGTGTACTGGGATTTTCATGTTCTCTTTTCTGATAGTGCCTTGAGTCGAGATGGATTGGCTGAATTTACAAAACCATGTCATGATATCAAGCTAAAATTTTACACTTGCCCTCGCATGACACATTCACAGAGACCTTGAAAAGAAAAAAAAGATATGGTAATGGTATAGACAATTACATTTAACATGGCGAGGGTAGAAGATTCATTGTCTTCCATAATTCTTTTATATCAAAGTTTCAAAGTGTCTAAATTATTGAAGGACTTACAAGGCAAAGAAAAGTTCACCACATTAGAGCACTGTCTGAAAAACAAGGGTAAATGTTTCTGAACATCATGGTTGTAAATGTCTAAAAACCAAATACATAGCTGGGCCTAAATCCTGCCTGTTTTCAGCACCCGTATAACCAATTTCCATTCACAATAAGGTGGGGATGGAATCAGAAAACGTTGGAAAAATTTTTTGTGAA